TGTAGTCCCAGCTACTCAGGAGGTTGAGGCAGGAGAATCGGTTGAACCAGAGAGGCGGAGGTTACAGTGAGCCGAGATCGCGCAGCTGCACTCCAGCCTCGCACCTGGCGACAGAGTGAAACTCTGTCTCAAAAAAAAAAAAAAAAAAAAAAATTGAGCAATCATAACAATATACTGTAAGAAAAGTTATATGAATGTGATCTCTTTCTCACTCTCTCATTGTCATCCTCACCCTTCTTGTGTGGTGTGAGATGGTAAAAGGCCTATGGGATAGGATGAAGTTGCATGAATGGCGTAGGCACAGTGATGCAGCATTTGGCTCTCAACCTTCCGACAGTGTCTCAGAAGGTGGAACCTCTGCTTTGTGTGATCCCAGATCACCAAGCATGACCATGAAGACGGCGGGATGTCAGGAGCAGATACTGCTGACTAAGAGGCCGGTAGGGCAGACAGGTGGATACGCTGGACAAAGGGATGATTCACGTCCTTGTCAGGACAGCACAGAATTGTGCATGATTTCATCATGCTACTAGGAACTATGTGCAGTTCAAAACTTATATGTCATTTATTTCTGCAGTGCTTTGTTTAATGTTTTTGGAGCACAGTTGATGCAGGTAACTTAAATTGTGGGTAAAGGAAGACAATCATGTTTGTAGGTTGTGGGAGGGAGCCCAAAGAGCTAGAAAGTCTGCAAAGGAAATCAAGAAAGAATAATGTCTCAAGTTTCCAGGGGAAGACGTCTCTCTTTCTCTTCTTTTGGTATGATGTCAAGACACACTGACCAACCTTTCCAGTCAAAATTTGATTTAGAAGCAATCATTTAATCAGGGGTTGGCAAACTTTTTCCTAAAGGTGCTAGAGCATAAACATTTTGGGCTTTGTGGGCAAGTGGCAAAATTGAGAATACTGTACATACCTATATAACATTTAAAACATAAAAACACATTCTTAGCTTATAGGCCATAGCAAAAATAGGCAGTGGCTTGGATTTGGCCCATGGGCCATACTTTGTCCATCCAATTTAAATGAAGGACCTGTGTCCTTTGACTTGAGTAGAAGTTTTGAATTTTTCCTTTTTCCTTAATACAAATGCTTCATGTTCAAGGAAATGTTACATTTGAATACCTTGGGTCAAATCATAGAAAAATCAAATCACAACTAAAGACAAGGTCCTCATCCCAAGGCTACTGCAAACGGCCCAATTTGCACCTGAGAGCAAAAAGCTCTCTGTGAAGTTCTGCTTGGCAAAGCAAGCCATACATTGCTTTGCTTAGGACAAGTGTTTAAACCTGGACAGTGCTATTTACCTAGGGAGGTCAAACCTTCGCAGGTTTCAGATCTCTTTTCTGTGTCAGAGTCTGGTCTCCCATGAGGCTGAATAGGGCTGCCTATTTCACTGTGGCTATTTGAGACACTCAGAAAAAGCAGTTAAGGGAGAATGAGGCACAAAACTAAAGATGTGAGTAGCCCAATAGGTTGTTTTAATTTTATATTTCCAATTACGCAAGTAATATAAGAATATATTGCTAATATAAAAATTCAAATCGTATAGATGATGCCAATCACCTCCAGTGCCAGCACAAGCCCCCAAAGTTAAATTCGGTCATTGGTGTGGCAATATACTTTCTACTTTTTTCTTTTTTTCTTTCTTTTTAAGAGATGAGGTCTCACTGTGCTGCCCAGGCTAGAGTGCAGTGGCATGATCATAGCTCACTACAGCTTTGAACTCCTTGGCTCAAATGATTCTCCCGCCTTAGCCTCTGGAGTGGCTAGGACTACAGGTGTGCACCACTGTGTCTGGCTAATTTCCAAGACTTTATACACATGCTTGTATTTACAGAAACATTATGTAGCTTTGTACTGTTCTGCACAAATACTATGTGGCTTATTATCTCCGTAAACAATATGACTTGCTGGTGATTTCATCTCTATACATAAATCTTCCTTATTTGTTTAAATCAGATCTCTTTTCTCTGCCTTCTGTGTCAGAGTCTGCATTTTTCATGATTTACCTATTTATTCTCCCATTTACACTCAGCCATTTCTAACTTCTCACTACTACAAACCATGCTGCCCTGGATGTCCCTGACATGCCTTCCTGTACTCCCTCCCAGAAGCACTGAAAATTCAAGATAGCTGGGCTTATCATATCATTGTCAACATTCTTGGGTTTTTGTGTTTTTGGTTTTGTTTTAGATGGATTCCCGCTTTTACTCATGCTGGAGTGCAGACCTCAGCTCACTGCAATCTCTGCCTTCTGGGTTTAAGCAATCCTCCCACCTCAGCCTTTCGAGTAGCTGGGATTACATACTTGAGCCACCATACCTGTCTAATTTTCTTATTTTTAGTAGAGATGGGGTTTCCCCATGTTGGCCAGGCTGGTCTTGAACTCCTGACCTCAAATGATTCACCTGTCTCAGCCTCTCAAAGTGCTTGGGTTCCAGGCGTGAGCCACTGTGCTCAGCCAACAATTTGTAATTTATATTTTTATTTAGTAATTAATCCAGGTTATTTAAAGCCTACTGTTAATTTTTTTTTTTTTTTTTTAGAGACAGAGTCTCATTTGGTCGCCCAGGCTGGAATGCAGTGACGGGATCTCTGCTCAGGGCAACCTCTGCCTCCAGGTTCTCCTGCCTCAGCCTCCAGAATAACTGGTGGGATTACAGGCACACGCCACCATGCCAGCTAATTTTTGTATTTTTAGTAGAGACGGGGTTTCACCATGTTGGCCAGGCTGCTCTCGAACTCCTGACCTCAGGTGATCCGCCTGCCTCAGTCTCCCAAAGGAGGCCGAGTGCTGGGATTACAGGCATGAGCCACTCGCCCAGGGTGGTTAGCTTTTTTATATTCTACCTTTTTTTGTTTATATATTTACTTATCATTGTGTATAGTGAGTGCCACCTGTAAAATTTATCTTTTTGGAATTTGCAGAAATTTCCTTTGAGACAAAATTCTAATGATCATTCATTTGCATTTGAAAAGAAACAAAAAAGTTCTCTCTATATACATCAAACCTGTTAATTATGCCACCCAAATCCTCTACATCTGTTCTTACCTTCTACTTGACTTGGTGATTTCTACGTCAGCAGCTATGATTATGGCTTTGTCAATGTTTTTCATTGTATTTCTATTTGCTCTGCTCCATGTAGCTCCCAGTTATGTTGTTAGGGACATAAAGTTCGTGATTACTGGACTTTTTTGGTGAGCTCTTCCTTTTTATGAGATATCCTTTAAAATTATTTTTGCCTTTAACTCCGTTTTATTAGATACCAACATTGCTATTCCTGCTTTCCTTTTTGTAGCATTTGCATGGTCTTTCTCCGTCTCTTTATTTCAGCTTTGCTGTGTTGTTTTGGTTTAGGTGTTTCTAACTTCATGTAGCTGGGATTTACATTTTTTGTTTGCACTATCTGAATATCTGAGTTTAACCCATGTTTGCCTATCTTCCCATCTTATTTTCCACTTACCATGTGAGCTACCTGTACAGATAATTGCATGTCAAACACTGTCGCCACCACTCAGACTTCCGTCATGCCTTTTTGTGTCATTCCCCCCCACCCTAGGATAACTTTGAGTCTGTACTTCTCTTTTTTTCTTGAGACAGGATCTCACTCTGTCAGATCCTCTCACCTCAGCCTCCGAGTGGCTGGGGTTACAGGTATGTGCTACCATGCCTGGCTAATTTTTGTGGTTTTTTGTAGAGAAGGGTCTCGCCATGTTGCCCAGGCTGGTTTCAAACTTCCTGGGCTCAAGAAGTTATTATTATGTTTTTAGATCAAGAGTCAAACATGGCACATAATAAGTCCCAGGCAAAACTTAAAAGTGAGGTTTTTTTTTGGTATTTCCTCAGTTTTCTTTTCGGTGCTTTTCTCATCCTACTAACTGCAAATTCCCATTGCTCTACATACTCTCCCAGGCCTTCTCCCCAAACACATATGCTTCCACCACACCCATTTGTCTCACAGGTCCCTTGCCCAGCTAGTTTCTCTGCCTCAAAGTATCTGAAACTTATTCGTGAACAATTATTAACAAATAAAGGGCTAGTTGGTGGTGACATTTTACTGGAAGGCTCCTGAAGATAAGTAAGACTTAGAGACCCAAAAGAATAAAGCTAGGAGGGACTTCATCAGCAAGACTGCCGGAGTTTGAGTTCAATTTCTGCCATCTACCAATGAGCATCTTATCTACCCCTCTATGCCTCAGTCTCCTTGCCTGTAAAATGAGATAACAAGAGCACCTCCCTCATAGGGCTGTTGTGAGTTAATATGTGTCAAGAGTCTAGAATCATGGCTGGCACATGGTAGGAGCTCAAGAGGTGTCAGTGCTTATGGTTATCATTCTAATGGATGTAAAGAAATACTTCTGCATAGGGATGACTTTGGTAACTTTCTACTCAATCTTTCTGTGAGAGATTGAATAGAAAAGACAACCTGGATGTGCGCACATTTAAACAAGGAGCTGTTCTTATTCATCTTTGCATGGTGGCTCAAAGTCCACAGCACTTTGGACATAGCAACCACTCACTACATGTTGCTAAATGACAAAGGAAAAGAAAAGGCACTAACACCTAGATTTCTAAAGTGATGTAGAAAATAATAGGAGAAGATAAGTTGAAATTTCCTATGGCCTTAGGCTACAGTGTACCATTGAGCAAAAAGTGCAATAATATACATTTTCTAAAAGTAATACTACAAAGCACAGGCATACATATCAGCCAGATAGTATCTGTATAGCAAGGATGTGCTCAGAAGAGGTGAACTCTCTACTGAAGAGCTGCTTATTTTGCCATTAAAAAAAAGAGTCCTCTGGCAAAATTTTCTCTAGTTTCATGAATTTAAACTTGGTCTACATTCTGAAAACAAATAAAATTGGCTTATATGAGAGGCAAGTTATTGGTATGGTAAACAAAGACGTATCTATCTTACAGAAAGATTACATTATTTTCTGATTTCATCTGTCTATATAACAAACAATTTTGCTTTATAAGAGTACCACAAATCTCCAGTTAATTCAGTCCTTTATTTTTTTCATTCACTATAGAATATTGATTTTGCAACATTGAATACAATCCAATATATTCCATTAAAACAAAACTTTTGCTTTATGAAAGATCAGCAAAAATACATAAACAAGGATATAACTGGCACATTTATAAAATACATCATAACAATGAAACCAAAGGATCCCACACAATGATCTTCATATTTGACATACTGGTTACAGCTGAGGAGAGCTTGCTAAATGCCAGTATCTTTGGCAAGTGACTCATATATGTAAGCAATAACACTGATCAATATCAACACTTCTGAAATGTTCATTCTTTATCAGTTTAACATAAATCAACAAGAGTACTGAAATATATTAAGAATGAAATCCAAAATTTGTTGAAAGGGACAATGTTTAATGCTAGGAAGAATACTGAATTTGGGGACTAATTCTTTTGTCCCCAAGTATATTTGGATTCTTGTCTTTGTTCCTGGATAATCTTGGGCAAGTAATCTGTGCTAGGAACCCTTCATTTTTAAAATGAGAGTGTTGGCTGGCTGATCCTCTAAGGTCTTTCTAGGTTTCACTTTCCATGATTTTAAAATGCTTGACACAGGTTCATTTTTTGTGTTGTAAAATGAAATCTCTAACAATACTGACTTGGCAGTTGGGTGGAATCCAGTACAGCCCACACACCTCTGCTCAAGCAGTTCTTTACTTTCTGAGCTCCAGGACAGGCCAATCGTCATATTAACAATGATGGCAGGCTTCAGGAGGCTAATGGCTGGTTCTCCACCAGACACAAACGCAAGATAGATAGGTTTAAAGCTCCTGAAGTCATGGTTATCAAAAGAAAAGCTATAATGGAAGAACTACAGGGAAAACCCACAACATCCTCTTTGGAAAAATGACAAAATAACATGTTTTACCATTCACGGATTCACTAACGGAAGAAGGTGGGTACATATATTAACTATAACACATAATATAATTAATTTTAACTGTTATTTGTGAATATGCACAAAATATACATACAAATTAGAGCTCGATCAGTAAATATAAATTCAAGGTCCAGATGCAAATGGGAAGCTCTCTGATGCTAGTTTGAACTTTCGAGTTTCTAATTCTATGGGAAGAAGTCAGGATTCTTTTTACTAATGTTGGCTTCTGCTCCATTATCTGTAAAGTCCACCTCTTTCACATAATCACAAAAATTGAAGATGTCTGAGGCCCCTGTAGGGTATTTAATTCATCTCCTACTCTTATCAGATTACTGTGTTTTTATTCGGAAAGACTGAATGAGTGGGTTTTCATCATCTCTCCATTTGAAAGCAAGTAGACTTTATCTCTCTGGATTCAAGGTCCGTGTTTCTTCCTAGCATTTTAATGTCAATTGTATTTACACAATTTTAAATATTTAACTCTGATTTGCATTATAGAAATTAGTCCAATTCAATAAACATGAATATGTAAAGCAAAATTACTCTGGAAATGTCAGGTTTTTTTTTTAAATAAACATTGTCCTTTCATTGAAGTACTAAAATGTGTCTCATTTAACAGTAATGACTACTTAAAGCAACTACATGAGCCTTCAAACATTTTTCATCTCTAACTCGTGTTCCTCTTTCAGAAATATCAAAACTCTAATTTCTCTGTTGTCCACCTTCCTCCTGAGGGGACTTAGGAACTGTACCACAGAGGGGTCTCTTCTGACTGAGAATCCCTAATACTGAAGCAGTGGTATCATCAGTTATATGGTTTGGCCATGTCCCCACCGAAATCACAACTTGAATTGTATCTTCCGGAATTCCCATGTGTTGTGGGATTCATTGAATCACAGGGCAGGTCTTTCCCATGTTATTCTCATGATAGTAAGTCTCATGAGATCTGATGGGTTTATCAGGGGTTTCAACTTTTGCTTCTTCTTCATTTTCTCTTGCCACCACCATGTAAGAAGTGCCTTTTACCTCTGCCATGATTCTGAGGCCTCCCCAGCCATGAGGAACTGTAAGTCCAATTAAATCTTTTTCTTCCCAGTCTTGGGTATGTCTTTATCAGCAGTGTGAAAACAGACTAATACAACCAGCTATACATTTTAATTGCATTTTGCCTGTTTATTACCTATATTGCAAAATGATAGATTCATTTTGCCTTCCCAAGTATAAAATTATTTTAATATTGAATATGCTTTTTCAAACTCTACAGCCCCCTTCTCTCCCTCATTCCTTATGAAATTTTCATATACTTCTTAATGGGCAAGAGATCTTTCTCTTGAGAATCACTGAACTAAAACCCAATTTCTGAACTGTTATTCAGGATAAAGTCCAATAACCATGTCTGAAGAAACAGTATTCAGTTAAAATACAGACATGATCAACTGAAAAATAGTGCACAGAATAGATATTGTAACAGAGTATTGAATATTTCCTGATTATTAAACCAATTACTTAAACCTTATACTTGAAAACTAATGCAGAGATTTGTTTTTAAAATGACCTACTGAAACCATCATGAAATGTAACTTTTATAAAGGTTAATTATAGTAACAAGTCATATTGCTTTATATCGTTAAAACAGTATTTTCTTCAATTATATGACCTAAAAAATTATAACTTTATTTTCCATTGATTCTCATATTTAAAACCAGAATTTTTAGATTTTTCAAAATAAATTTTTATCAGTTTTGACCTCACTTGCAACTTAGAGTTGAATCTATAAAGTGGTGGGTAAAAATTTCCTACAATATAACAAATTTTTCTCAGATGCCACAAGATTAAGATTTAATAGGAATATAAAGTAACTATTTCTCTAAGTAATGCTGTACTTCATATCCCTTTATTTTTCCAAATGATGGAATGGAACTTCTGTATTCTCTGAAACTAGAATGATAATATAGGTATCAGGCCAGGCGCAGTGGCTCATGCCTGTAATCCTAGAACTTTGGGAGGCCAAGCTGGGTGATCCCTTGAAGCTAGGAGTTCTAGATCAGACTGGGCACTATGGCAAAACTCCATCTCTACTAAAAACACAAAAATTAGCCAGGCGTGGTGATGCACACCTGTAGTTCGAGCTACTTGAGAGGATGAAGCATAAGGGTCACTGGAACCCAGGAAGTCGAGGCTGCAGTGAGCTGAGATGGCACCACTGCACTCTAGCTTGGGTGACAGAGTGAGACTTTGTCCAAATTAAGAAAAATATATATGTATAGAACTTTAAAAACGGTTTTGGAAAAAATATAGGTGTGTATTTCCCAAGTTTAAAAGTGGATCTCCGTGCCAAAGTGAAGCAGCCTGAAAAGAAAAAACCAAAAAGGTCAACTCCAGAACCCTGACTAAGGGCTTCAGTAAAATCCTTCAACACTGTGGAAGCTGATTCCCATGCAAGGCACATACTCCCAACAAGGCACAACAGTTTGAAACTTTACAGCAGTGGCGCCAGGAAGGGGTCCCACTCTCATGGACATCAGTATTCTGCATTGATGTGCTTCGCAATGGTGTTCAACTGGATGTTGGAAGTGCCTTCATATATCGTACCTTAAGCAAAAGGAAGCAGAAGGAACAATGAGGGCTTGGCCCGTGGTTAACACAAGAAATAGCTCTATAAACATCACCTCTGTGCTCACTATAAAATAGTTACTGGTTACATCACTTGATGTCCCCTGAATATGGTTACTATTTCACAGAGTGATTTTGACTAAGAGATGACAATTTTCCATTTGGTTTCTAGATGTCCAGGATCAGTATTAAATTGACTAAAGTTTAATCAAAAGTTGAAGGTTTTGATTCTTCAACAAGTGATACATAAGGTCAAACTGTGATTTGTGGCAGTTTACTAAAAAGCCTGTTGAGGCCTTTAAAAGGGCAATTTGGTATTTTTTAAAAACGTGAATCAATTTTTTTTGAAGGATGAGGTAAGGTAACAAACCCAGTCACATAAAGAGAGCCAATACACGTATACTGAATAAATTAAAATCGCTTTTGCCTAGGCACCAGCAGTATCAAATTGACAAATAAAATAGCCAAAACACCTATAGAGGCAAATAAAACAAAATAAAATGTAAAAAACAAAAATATCTACTTACCGATCTTTGCATCTCGGAAGTATTTTTCCACAGGGTAGTCTTTGGTATAGCCTACTGCCCCCATCCACTCGATACATTTACTCGTTATTTGTCCTGCAATCTACCAAGAGCAAGCACAAATCACACACTGAAACACTTAATGTATACATGATAAATACTTCTGGGGAACATTTTTAGCAACATGGATTCACTGTTAGTGGCGTTGGAAGAACTGAAGTTATTTTATAAACTAGCATTGTCTCTTCTGTCCCATTCTCATACCATTTCTGTAAAACATTCTATTAATTCACAAAATCCCCATTTTCTTAAGAAATTAGATCATGGTTCACATGAATCTGCTTGCTGAGAGACATCATTTCTTCAGGAAATGTTTATTGAGAGCCTCCTTTGTATCACAAACTCTGCCAGCCACTGAGTATACAATACAATGGTGGGGGCGGACAGTCACTGCCCTGTGGGGCCCAGTGGAACCAACCAGCACAGGAACTGATGAACTGCCTGGGGCAAAAGAGCTTGCTAGGAAGCTGAGGTGGTGACAATGGCAGAATCGTGAGGAAATTATGGTGTAGCTGAGACCTAAAGGACGAGCTAGGGAATATTTCAAGCTGAGGACCAACATGTGGAAAGGCCCTAAGGGGAGAATGAACTCTTCAACTTCCAGCTCCTGAGACAGCCAGTGGGCTGGGATAGGGGTAAGGTGTGAAAAGAGAATGGAGAGGCAAGAGATCCTGCAGAACGGCCCCTCAAGGATGTCCACATCCTAGCCCTCAGGGCTGTGAATATGCTGCCTTCCACGGCAACAGGGACTCTGCAGATGTAAGGATGTGAGATGGGGAGGTTACCCTGGATTATCTGGGTGGCTATAATATAATCACAGGAGTCCTTGTAAGGAAAAGGAGGAGGCAGGAGAGTGAGTCATGGAAGGTGATGGGAACACGGAGACAGGAAGCAGAGTCTGAGAGAGATCTGAATGTGCCATATTGATGGCTTTGAAGATGGAGGAAGGGGCTAAGAGTCAAGGAATATGAGCAGCCCCTAGAAGCTGGAAACAACTGTCCCCCAGAACTGCAGAAAGGCAGCCCCCACCAACGCCTTTGCTGTATTCCAGTGAGACCCAATTCAGATTTCTGCCCTCCAGAAGTGAGAGAAGATGGAATTACGTTGTTTTAGGTCACTGGCTTTATGGTAATTTGTTACAGCAGCAATTGGAATCTAATATGGATAGAGTTCCATTTGTTGTGAGAAGCCACTAAAGGGTTTAAAGCTGGAAGGTGACACTTTGAAAAAGGAGAGAGGCTGAATGGGAGGAAGTACCAGGGACCAGAAGAGCAACGAGGTGACCACAGTACAGAGCTGGCAATGGGGAGGGAGACAGATACACCACTGAGGAAATGTTCTGGGGGTAGAATTCACAGGAAATGATGCTGGATTCAGTTTGGGGGATGAGGGAAAGCAGGGTGTCAAGATGACACTCAGGTTTTGATGGTGAAGCAGAAAAGTTGGACATGTTAGTCTGGAATTCAGAAAGAAGTTGAGGCAGGAGATTTAAATTTACAGGCTGGAGAGGTTAAATGCAAATTTAAAGCCATAGAATGAATATGATTCCACGGAGGCTGGGAAACAGCTGTGAAATGATTTGGCTAACTTCTCTAGCCACAGTCTAATGTGTTAGCTATAGAAAGCCGACATATGAGCAGAGTTTTAGAAACACAGACAATCTTTTCTTGGGGTTTTAAATCTGATCTGTTCATATGATGAAGCTATCATCTTCCACGGCATTCACTTCGCCAGAACTTGAAACCATGGGCATGACACCCATGGTTCTCACAAAACATTGAGACCCCAAAGAATTAAACTGTTTTCTGTAGCAGTTTTGCTTTTTTATTATAAGAAATAAGAGTCCATGTTATCTTAACTTGAAAAACAACCAAAGTACACTTAACATTCCCAAGAGAAGAGGTTAATAATTACATATCTGAAAAAAAGGAAGGCTGAACTACTTTTTTTTTTTTACCTCTGATGCATAGTATTTGGCCATTGATGCTTCTTTTATGAATGGCCTTTCAGCTTCTACAAGCCTAGCAGCATTGTATGTTAGTAATCTTGCAGCTTCCAGCTGGGTGGCCATGTGAGCCACTTGGTGTTGGAGGCCCTGTAACAGGGAGGCCCAAGTTAGAGAATCATGATTTCAAAAAAGCACCTCAACTGCAAAGTCCTGCCTAGACACACAACACTGACAGATCCCAAACATACCCGAAAGGAAATTCACATTCACGTCTCTTAAATACCTTAAAATTTGCAATCTAAAATGAAATGCGATATTGTACGTATGGTTAAATCCTCTTTTCCTAGAAAAACTTCAGAGTTCACGTGATTCTTCATGATCGTCAAGATTTAAATAGTGAAGTATCACGAAGTTAGGTTTAAAAACTTGACTGTTGTATTTAATAATTATTTCAACTCTTTTTTGACAAAAATTTAGCTTAAATGAAATCCTAGCACAGCAAAACTTCGAATATATTCTTTATTTGCTTGAATTAAGAAAATTTTCATTTTGTATATGGCTTCCAGGCATTAAAAGACGTTAGCTACAAAGCAATGAAAAATACTGAAGCACCAATTACTACCACCCTGAAATTTTAGAGGGTGATTAGGTCCGCACTAAATGTTTGTCGATGAAAGAAACAACAGTTAACTTAGTGAGCCAGAATACAAACATTAACATTTATAAATAATTTCCTGGAAATAACAGGCACAGATGTTTATTACAAACTGAAATGTTTCTCCTGCCTAACCTATCCATCCACCCAGATAGTTATTGGGCACCTCTGCGATTGCCCTGAGCGACGGAGGCAGCAACGCTGAACATTACAGCCAGATTTCCTTGTTCTCATGATTTATAATATATAGTCCAGCAGAGAGAACAGACAAATTAAATAATTATAATAATATGTGATGAATATTAAGACAGTGAACCCTGATTAAGGCAATCACACACGAATCCCGGGAATGGCCTTTCCTAAACAAAAGGGAGGGACAAGTTGGAGAAAAACAGCACTGTCTGTTATACCCTACAGATTCTTCTCTCTTTCTGAAATACATGATACACAACAATTTTGTATGTACAAAAAAAAGACGATGCTCCATCTATGTAGGCTATGAAGCATAACAGTAAGTTGAACACCCATAAACCTATGTGCAGAGTTAATATCTTCTCCTCTGTGGTTTATCTTTTCACTTTATGGCATCTTTCAAGGAAAACAACTTACCAGTCTTATCTTTAGGACTAGTCCTTTTTGTGTCTGTTTACAAGAACCTTTCCTACCAGGAGGTTATAAAGAAATTCTCTGTTTTATCCTAAAATCTTTAAAGTTTTGCTTTTAACATTATGTCTTTACATCTGACATCTATTTTCTGTGTATGATGTGAGGTAGGAATACAGTTTTATTATTTTTTCATATAGAAAGAATATTCCCACTCAGTGGTCTGTAATGTCGTCTCTACCATACATCAAATCTGCATACATGCATGGGTCTATTACTGGCTTTTCTGTTTTGTTCCATCAGTGAATTTGTCTGTTTCTATACCAGTATCACTGTTCTAGAAATTTGACTCTTTATGTGGAACTCAGGATTCTGATTATTTTTGCAAAATACACTCAGTTCAATGAAACTTACAGTCACTATCCATGCTGTCTATTCCATTTGCCACTTTAAGTACTGTGAGAGGCAAGAAAGTGACTGAGGCATGCCTACTGCTCTATAAGAACTCACCATTGCTGAATACTTGTTCCCTAACTACATTGTGAACACAAGGCCTGGCATGGAGAACATGCCAAATAAATCTATACTAAATACACAATTGAAACTAATAAGGATGAATCGGCTGGTCTTTACCCTCAAGGGCCATGTGGTCTCGAGGTCAGAAAGATATGAACAAATGCACGCAAAGCAAACATGAGATAATATAGTTAGAAAAAAACTGCTAACTTTAATCAAAGCATTATACAGCTAATAATGTTGATTTTTAAGATCAAAATTTCTTCTCCTTGATGGGCTTATTTCACACAGCATGTCTCTATCAGAACATCTCATGTACCCTATAAATTTTTGTGGTTCCCTGTGTACTCACAAAATTTAAAAAATAAAAATAAAAAAATCTAAGTGTTCTTTTAACTACCCATAATAGGCATCTCTAAAGATGTCATTAGGATTATGCCTGCTAGTATACCTGACCCCTTCAATCTATCTGTACGCACGAGAACATAGTTTCCTGTGCATAAAGAAGATCAAAAGCCTCCCTTCAAAACAACCGTTACATTCTGTCTCTTCACTGCAATCTTTGTGGTAGCTGGCTCTGAGAAAGTACTCTAGTATAATGAAAATTCGACTAGAAGCCAAGACAAAAAAAATCCTCTACTTTTGGCACCGTATTAGCTGCACCTCCTTGGGAACTCAGTCTCCATGTGCTTCAGGTTCCTAGGCATAAGGTGAGACTGACAGCACGAGCTACAGTAGGCACCGGCCAGGCCTGCCGTGCTCAGTCCTTCTCTTTCTTGAACTGACTGTGCATGTCCACAGCCTAGTATCTCTATACGTGTGCAATCTGAGTGTGCTCATAGGATGTCTAGTCATTATTATAAACCTGAAGACAATGCAGCATAACAGAGCTGATTTGCACTTGGAGCCTAGAGCTGCTTAAGGGGAGGTTTTGCAATCATGTAAAGTAATTATTCTGGAATTTTACGTGACCTGCCTTTAGCTTGCCTAAAAGGTTTGGTAAACTGCCACTCCGAGCTGCCCTCACGCTGGCAAGACCTCAACAAGGGCAAGAAGGATACCGTTGCCACCAAGCAATCTCCAGATCGCCTGGGGAGCTCTGAGAAGCTGTGGCACTGGACCAAACCAGTATTACCCAAGTGCTTGGCCGAGTGCACCTCATTTCTATTTAATGCAGCAAACGGTATCTTCTGTGAGACCATACGTGACAAAAGTGCAGTCCTATGAGGATTACCACATGGTTCTGGGCCAAACAGAAGTAAATGGTAACAAGTGTTACCATTTACTGAGCACCTGTTATACCCATGCAATGTGTGAAACACTTTACACATACCTCAGTTAAAAGAGGTTAAGTAAGTAGTTATTTATATCTTTATTTGATAGATGAGGCAGTTTAAGGCTAGAATGAGGTCACTTGCCTAAGGCCTAAAGCTAGTAAGTGAAAGAACCAGGATCTGAATCCAGGAAGTCTGACTCCAGACCCCCTTCCCTGAGCTTCTGAAGCAATGAGGAGCTCCATGATGCTCACCAAGATATCCTGAATCACACTACAGCTGGGCCTCAAGGGCTAGTGCTCTGCCCTTGGAAAAGATCAAGGCATTCACAAGTACACCCCCTGAGACTTATTCCTTCCTCCGTTACCCCTCTCCCATTAAAATCCCACTGAAGGGATTCCCTCCATGGCTTTCAACACAGCCCTTTATTAACAGGAAGCTGGAGTCCAGTGCAGCAGAAAGACCCTAATAATTATATACCTGAAAATCAAATACTCTTTTGCCAAATTGTATCCTTTCTTTAATATATGGAATAGTATAGTCAAAACATCCTTGTGCTAGTCCCAGCATCTGTTAAAAAAAAAAAAAAAAAAAAGATCAGAATTTCTTATTTTGTTACAAGTTTAATGATCCAAGTTGTAAATTGCTTCTAAACATAAATTGAATGGTTGGGGTAGGGGAAGAACTAGAGATCCTGAGGTGGTAAGGTGTGTGTTAATAACACATCTTCACCTACTGCATTTGTAGAACTGAACTTCCAATAAGTGGGAGAAAGTTTTGAGTGATTTCATATGAATATGAGTATATTTAACTCTAGCAGAAGTAACTCTCCCAGAAAGGCTGTGTTCACAAAACCAGACTACTTTTTAGGAATCTTCTTTAAGCTCTGATTCTCCAGGTATACAATGAGCCATAGACATTTCGCTCAGAACTGGCCTTGAAGACTACAGAGGAACTCCCTCCAGTTCTAGAAGTAAAATATGGAAGGTCACTTCTTAACCTTCTACTTTCATGTCTATTTTGTATATGAGTAGGATTAATAAGAGCTTCAGTGGAAAGGGCATTAGAACATAAGATATCAGTGTTTCTTAACCCTAGCTGCACCATAGAATCATTTGGGGAACTTGATTAAAAAAATACTGATACCCAGGCCTAATGACTGAATCCAAATCTTGTGAGCAGAGTGGGTGGAGGAGTGTGAGCTAAACTTCAACTCTGTAAAACTCCTTAGGTGACTGAATACACAGCTAGGGTTGAGAACAATGGATAGAAAGCATCTAGTAAAAACGCTAATTTACACACTTCAATTTACACAGGACATGGTGACAATTTTAGCTGAACCGTCTCATTGCCAACAAACCTTCATATCTATTATGATTGAAGCTTAGAAACGGTTTCTAAATTTCAACATTAGATAGCCATTAAATCACTGTCTAATTATGTCAAATTCTGGTTTTAGAAAAGCATAGCTAAAGCTTTTGGGCGAAATGCCCAGCAAACTTATCAATATTTCATTAGTATTTATTCACCTTTTCTTTTAGTCTTTTATTTTGAACTATCTAGAGAACAGAATAATATGTTAAAAATTAAAGGCACAAGGAACCCCAAAATCCAATAAGGCATCACTGCACTCTCTGCTGGAAGATAAGATGATGTCACTATACCCTTACAGCTAAAATTTGCATGTGAATAATACCCTATATCAACATGAAGAATGAAATGATCAGTTGTCCATCAAAATGGGCTTTTCTGCCTCAGCAAAAGGTATCCGTTACAAACACTGAAACACTGAATTCTCTCTGCCTGCAACGTTTCGAGGACAGATGCCTTCAGTTCACTGTGCCTGTTCCTCTCAAAGGCATCTACTGAGAGAGTAACTACCTGACCTTAACTTTTAATTAGCTTATTAGATAGGTTGGAGTAATTAGACTGAGGCCCAGTCCGTGTATTTTATTGCCAGAACATCTATATTATTTATATGTCTGAAAAAAATGAGATCTAGTATTGTAGTTTTTAATGCCATATCTAACTAAGCTAAATCACAGAAAAACTTTTAAAAGAACTGATAAAACAACACTCTTTAGTGCCATACTGTCTAGCATTGTAGGAAAACTGGACTAAGTTTTGATCTAAAAATAGTTAACAGCAGCAGAAAAAAATCTAGAGTAATAATCTATTATTTATTTCAATAGCTAATATATATTTAACATCTCCAAAATTGAAAAGCTGTAAGTTCTTGAGTTTTGCATAATCACTGATTAAAAATATACTCTACAAAAATGATATCATCTATAGTAAAGCCAAAGACCTTATTCATTGTGTTAACCTGGAAAATAACTGATATCACCTAATGGAAAAATGCAATATGCATTATAAGAGGCAAATTTGGTCAAAAAATTTGAATAGTTCTCATTTTATATCCCTACTTAATTGTGGCTGTTTCATTTCGTGTACCACCAAAAATATTGCCCAGTGTTCTCATACAAAACACTAAGCAACAAATCTTTTATTAACTATAGATAAGAGATCCTTACTACAAAGTGGAATGAATATTATTTATTCTTAATGTAAAAAATCCCTTCCAGAATGAATTTCATGATTTGGAAAGTTGATTTTTTTTTTTTAAAAATGCCATATTTAATTTATAAGACATTTTAAAAGTTATTGGTTCAGGTATTAGATAATACTTTAATATTCTCAAAGCAGAAACACTGTTACCACCAAGCCATTGTTTGATTCTCTGGACACTTACATAATTGACCAAAAGGGAATTTGAAAGAAATCATCAGAAGCCATCCTGTCCCTCATCTAAGGGAATGGTGCCATCTTGTGTCCACAAGCTTCCTAATATTCACTGGGCTCATTGCATTTTTTTTCTTTTCACATTTTAATTGGTTCACATCATGGAAGAGTTTGAATTCGACTTACCTGTGCAGCAATTCCTATCCTACCTTCGTTAAGACCCCCTACGGCATACTTATAGCCATGTCCAATCTGTCCCAAGACATTGGTTTCTGGAACCTGAAAATACAAATGTGCACTATTTCTCAGTTTCATTTTACATGATTCATTTTGATGATATATTTTTAAGTGTGTACAGACTCTCAATTCATGTGCTAGCCCTCTCACAGTACTTGCTGGCATCTGTGTCTCTCTCTACACTGCTTTTTTCCACAACTCTCTGAGGAAAAGGACTCAAGACAATGCTGTTCATGACTGCATCCTCCAGAACCCTGCATAGGTTATTGAACGGATGAGTGAATCTAGAGTAAGGGAATCTCATAGAAGTCATCAATAATATAAATTCCTACTTTTCCCTCCAATTCTTATCTGTATGCTACAGTGTGAGACTAACATATTAGGAACTACAAAAATATGCAAATACTTGCAAAAACAAGTGTAGTAAGCGTTTCGGCTGTTGAGACCATTCATCCTCGTAAAAGTCAACTGTGGGGCATACATGTGTGTATATGTGTGTACACATGTATGCTCAAGAAAGAGAAAGGAAGTCAGAAGAAACAGACTAAAATGCTTATTCATAGTTTAAAAAAATTAAGAATTAGGAACAATAAAAAACTATCCTTAGTTTTATAATATTGGAAGTTGGGGGGAGAGAATAGGGAGAATGGAGAAAGAAAAGGGAAAGCAGGGATGAGGAAACAGCTGGGGTGAGGTAGTGAGGCCCCAATGACATCTGTAAAGACATCCTCCCCCTTGCTCCCCACAGCCGTGCAAAAGAATATTAAGCTCTGTGACGAGTGATGGAAAACCCACCACTACCTGCCCCACCTACGGAGAGTTCTAAAGCACCAGCACTAGCATCCGTGATCTTCTGCCAGTCACATTGAACAGCCTGGCTGTTTCCGCTCACTGAGCAACACCCCCATCTTGTGGCCTTTGGTGCACTGACACCAGAGACTTCCTCCTCTGCAGCCCTGTTTGGTTCACAAGTCTCAAGCTTATTAAGCATACATGGTCAGAAGTACCTAAGTTATAAAATATAAATGGGACAAATTCTTGACACCTGCTCCCCAGGACAGCTTCTGGGCAGAAAGGTTTCCGCTTTTGTGAGAAGTACGTTTATTTGATCATGACTAAAGAGCACTGTTCAGGGTTTTACAAAATACTCTCCCATGTGTGCTTACGGCCACTTAATATTTTGACACCTGTCTTGCACACCTCCTGCAGTTCCATGTAAGGCTTATTTCACATCAGTCTTTTACTGATTGGTCTAAGATACCCACCTTGACATTTTCGAATGTTAATGGGCAGGTGGAAGAAGCTCTGAGCCCCAATTTGTTTTCGGGTTTTCCTATATGAAGGCCTGGAGTATCACGATCTACTAAGAAGCAGGTAATTCCCTTATATCCCTAAAAAGAAGATTTAAAATGCTATTACCACTTGGATTTATAAAATGCCTTGTTTCTAAAGAGTTCAAGTAAAAAGAAAACTAAAAATGGACTTTAATAATAACTACTAACAGACTCAGAATTGCAACATGGGCATTATGAAATGAGAGTAATTAGACGACACTAGATCCAAACTATAGAACCTTACCATTTCTTTTACTTTTTCAGAAACAATTATAATATTAAAATTATTATTACACAATTATATTATCATGAGAATGCCACGTTCTTAATTTAATTTTACTATATAAAGTTTTAAGCCAGGTGTGGTGGCTCATGCCTGTAATCCCAGCACTTTGGGAGGCCAAGGCAGGTGGATTACCTGAGGTCAGGGATTCAAGACCAGCCTGGCCAACATGGTGAATCGCCGTCCCTACTAAAAATACAAAAATTAGCTGGGTGTGGTGGCGGGCACCTGTAATCCCAGCTACTTGGGAGACTGAGTCAGGAGAATTGCTTGAAACCAGGAGGCAGAGGATGCAGTGAGCCGAGATCACGCCATTGCACTCCAGCCTGGGCAACTAGAATGAAACTCCATCTTGGAAAAAAAAAAAAGTTTTAACAATTTAATTCAATTGTTACAGTAGTGAAAATACTGTATTTACTGGTAAAAAAATATATTTATTATTTTGCTATATGTCTGTTTTCCAAAGGAAATGCCCATTTTCCAACTAAGAATAAAATATTCTTAAAAACAAATGTACTAAACAGATACTTAAATTCTTCATTACTAAACAGAAAATTGGAAATTCAACAAAATTAAAGATTAGGGCCAAGTGCAGTGGTTCACACCTATGATCCTAGCACCTTGGGAGGCTGAAGTGGACAGATCACCTAACATCAGGAGTTCAAGACCAGCCCAGCAAATGTGGTGAAACCCTGTCTCTACAAAAATGCAAAAATTAGCTGGGCATGGTGGTGCACACCGATAGTCTCAGCTACTTGGGAGGTTGAGGCAGGAGAATTGCTTGAACTCAGGAGGTGGAGGTTGCAGTGAGGTGAGATCGTGTCACTGCACTCTAGCCTGGGAGATAGAGGGAGACTCCATAATCAAAAAAAAAAAAAGATTATTTTTCTATATAATATATTAGGAGATAAGTAATAATTGGTTCTCCACAAACAGTCACACCTCCATCTCTGAGGGGGAGTAGCTGCAGGACCCAACCCCCAACCATGGATACCAAAATCTGACAGTGCTCAAGTACCTTACATAAAATGATGTCATATTTGCCTATAACCTATGCATATGCTCCTGTAGATTCTCAGTCATCTCTAGAGTATTTGACACCTAATATAATGCATACACATCACTTCATGCAGGTGGATTCAACATGGTACTAGGCACAAAGCAAATTCAAATGTTACTTTTTGGAACTTTGTAGAATTTTTTTTTTCAACCAAATATTTTCAATCCAGAGTTGGTTGAATCCACGGGTACGGTGGGCCAACTCTAATAATTGTGTCAACAATATTTATTTTAGGAGATTAATACGTAAAGTGAAAAAAATGCCACCTCAAATCTGACATTTTCAGTACTGAAAAGAGGAGAGAATTTAAGATGAAGTCCTAAAAAGGAAATGGAGGAAAAGATAAGGAAAGAGAAAAGAAGTGGGGAACAAGAAATTTCATTTTCAAACTTACAACGGTAGGGTCTACATTCGCCATCACCAGAAAGAGCCCTGCATACTCAGCACTGCTGATCCACAACTTTGACCCATTGAGGACATAATAATTGCCCTTTTTATCAGCTCTGGTCTTCAAAGCAAATGAGTCACTACCTGCTCCAGCCTCTGAAAGGCAGAAACTTCCTACCTACATATGGGAGAAAAAAATGTCCAAATTAATAACTGCATTCATACTCCGCATAACAAATACTTATGGCAAAATGGACATTTCTAAATCAAATCTCTAGCTGCTTTTTAAAAAAGCCTATGTTTATGAAAACAGTAATGGTGTTTTGAAGATATTATTTTCCAAAAATATATGGGCACGTACTAATTCAAATTGATTTTAATAATTATAGTAGAAAGATATCACAATGTAAGTGTAACCATCAACAAAGGTATTAGCAAATATAATTGGGACAAAAAGAAACAAGATTATTATCTGATGATTATTTTCTAAATTTCCAAATGGCAAATAAGAGGCAGAGTGTACTTTTTCAGTAGTATTAATTTATTGAGCATTGCTTGAATTAATGATAATGTGTTGTAGTCTTGGATAGTAAAGTCAACATTGCAGCTACTTTTTTCCTGAAAATATTGTAAACTTACTAAAGATTAGATCCATTAGATCAACAATTCATCTCAACTCACTTTTTCGGTAGTGAGCTGAGGCAAATAGGTGGCCTTTTGTTCTTCTGTTCCAAATTTTCTAATCAGTGTGTTAATTAGTGTGTTCTGGATCTCACAAAGGACAGCCACCGATGCATCCACTTTGGCTAACTCCTCTATCACGAGCACAGTGGAAAAAAATGAAGCTCCTGTACCTCCATATTTCGGGTCAACGTCAATTCCCATCAACTAAAGAAAAAACAAGGCAACACAGATTAAGAAACCTACTTTTATACAGGGAAATTTCTTGCAAGAACAAGTTAAAAAACAAAATGTAACCATATTTGTTCTTTTTTCTTAAGAGAGAGAGAGTCTTGCTCCATTTCCTAGGCTGGAGTGCAACGGCACGATCTCAGCTTACTGCCACCTCTGCCTCCTGGATTCAAGCAATTCTCCCGCCTCAGCCTCCCAAGTACCTGGGATTACAGGCACCCACCACCATGCCTGGCTAATTTTTGTGTTTGTTTTTTGTATTTTTAGTAGAGACAGGTTTCACTTTGTTGCCTAGCCTGGTCTCAAACCCCTGACATCAGGTGATCCACCTACCTCGGTCTCCCAAAGTGCTGGGATTACAGGTGTGAGCCACCGTGCCCAGCCACCATATGTATTCTTCATTTAAAATTTTCGTATGTATCCTTTATTTTAATTTGGTACGGCAATTTTGCCATCGGTAACAAAAAAAACTGTATCAGAAACTATATATTTGAAAAGCATGAAGTTACATGCTTCCTTTTGGGATTCAGAAAACCCTTTGAAGGGTAGCTGAATGGAAAGAGAAAATATCTTATATAAATAGATGACCTTTCTTACTAAGTAAGAACTGTTGTTTTGCCTGCTTAAAGAAGGTAGGTGGGGTTTTGTTTTTTCAACAAGCCCTACCTACCTTATGCTGATTTCAATGTAATAAGGAAACAAGAAAATAATCTACTCTTCAACAGTAATATCTACAGTTTCATATGGCAAAATTTCTTCTAGTCAGGCTCCTTCACCTTGACTTTTTCAGCCAAGTTAATAATTGAATGACTATTCCTTTTAAGCCACAGTCACAAGTGCAGGATGGTTAGCAGAGAACATGTGGTGTTTGCTAGAACCACACTAGCCAAGGACTCGGTGCCTGGTAAACATGACCAGTGCCAGCCAAGCCTTTCCAACAACCTCGTCCCATCACTACTGAAACTCACATAGTACTCTCAATTTCACAAAAGGCATGTGTGCATGTGTAATTCAAAACCCACAGCTGTTAGTAGAAGGATAATGCTCTTAGTCTCTCTCTAGACATTCCTGGAGTCACACTACACTGCAGTTAGGGTTGTGGCTGTTACATTTTGGGTTACAACAGGAAAACAGAACAGAAATGGGGGTGACTGAATGGTGAAAAAGCCCAGAAACAAGGAAGATCTGAAGGATCTGAGTTTGCCTGAGGACCGAGGAGGGTACACTGGCTACCTCATTACAAGGTGTTTAAGAGATGTCAGAGACATTGCTTCTCTAAAAAAAAGTCACTCATCTCTCCCAAAGTGGGAATACTGTTTTTGCAAGCCATTACAACTGAAGAGCCAGGGCAATGGGAGTGCGGAGGCACGTGATGCTGCATCTGCGTAGGAGTGGTCTGTGGAGATGAGTAGCAGGGTGCAGGCAACGCATCACTCTGCAGACAGCCCTGCTGCAGGAGCGAGCGCTGCGGGGGGAGACCTCACACGGTGAAACTGAGACTGCTCCCAGAAGCCTGCAGAGTCTGCAAGCAATAAAAATAAAACCTGGCTGAGGAATGGACTCACAGAATCCATCTGTTCTCCACATCGGCCGCCTGTTTGACCAGTACAGCTCCACATAAGATTCCATTTTCCCAAGAGTTTGACTGCTAAAAGAAAGATGGAAGAATCGCTACTCCACACAATATTTAAAAAGCTGGTTGCTTTAAAACAGAAAGAAATAAAACTATCTAACTAAGTGGCAATGGTAATTTTTCAAACGGGATGGCAGACAAGATTTAGGTCAATGGCTCTGAATAGCAGCCACTTGTTCTGGGACATCTTTAGTATTAAAAATAAAAAAAAATAAATATTTCATACCTCTGGAGAAGTGAGAAATGATGAGTGCGGTGATTTTTAAAATGTTCTTCTAGAAGCCTCTATGCTAATAGCCTCTCCCCCTACCCACAGTGAGAGCAGTTTTACTTGTATCTGTTTCGTATGGTGTACTGCCATTAAAGAGCTGTGTGACTTGGAAAGATGGGAATCTGTCACCTGGTTAATGTGGAATTCGTGTATCACCTCTGCTTCTAAGGTTATCACTTATACAGGGATTCAGGCAGACTATGAACTACACTATGAAGTTTTACTCTCTGAAGTAGGGTTTCTTCACAGTGGCATTGGGTTGGATAATTCTTTGTCGTGGCACTTGTCCTGTGCACTGTGGGACGTTAAGCAGCATCCCGTGTGTCTATCCTACTTGATGCCAGTAGCATGCCTCAGCTGTGGCAGCCAAACACGTCTCTAGACAATGCCCAATGTCCCCTGGAGGGAAAAACTGGCCCCAGTTGAGAACTACTGATCTAAAGATACAAATAAGTCATCATCCAAACCTTTCCTTAACATGCACAGTATTTCTAATTTAAAATGTTAATTCCATTTTTAAAAACTTTTAAGTACATAAACATTAAGGAGGATTTCAATCTAAAAAAGAACACAGATAATTTTGACTGGGAAATGAAAGGTTCATTATGCTATCATTATCGTCCCTCAATTTTAAAATATGCATATATTTTAACCCTAAGATGTTTTTATAAAAGCTTGAAACGGGAAGAATTACAAAATATACCCCTTGTTGAAATAATCCTTGTATTACTGATTTCTCCATTTTTGAATTTTCATCCATGGTTGAAACCAAAGGTGCAAGTCGTTCTTGAGCAAATTTTTTAACTAAAGGAAAAAAGAATTACTGGTAAGTCTGTGTTCAAGTGACAGCCACATTAATAAAGATGATAATAGCTCCTGGTTTGCTGACAACATTTTACATTTTAACTAATAAGTTAAAATATACACAGGTACCCTTCTTATACTTTTAAAATAGAATTTATGAAGTCTTCTTTTTCACATAGAAAGGTGTAGTTCCCCATATCCCTTTGTAACTCTTGATGACATTACAAAGTAAATGATGTAGGTAGATGGTGCAAAAACAAACAGTAAAGAAAGCGCAAAATGAAAAATGAAAGCCATGCTCTGCTCTACCCAAAGGTAACTAATTTTAAATTTATCATGCATTCTTTCTGAAAACTTTTCTTTGAAAATCATTTATACTTACCTGTACACACACACACACACACACACACACAGGAATCATAAGATACATATTTGTGTGTGCCTTGTTTCCCCATCTATATCTTGATGATCTTTCTATGTCAGCATATCCCATCTAACCTGGTCCTTTGAATAACTGCGTGGTCATATGGAACAGGGTTTCTCCACCCTGGCACTGTTGACATTTTGGAGCCGGTGGCTCTTTGTTGTGGGGCCATCCTGTGTACCACAGGATGTTGGGCAGCATCCCTGGCTGCCACCCCACTAGCTGCCAGGAGCATCTCCCACTTCTAAGTTGTGGCAATCAAAAATGTCTCTAAAGATTGCTAAATGTCCCCTGGTGGCAAACTTGCCCAGTTGAAAACCACTGTTTCATGTGTTAATGTTTTAAGACTTAGATGCATCTAGAATTCATTTTGATGAAAATGCCTTCTTAAGTTTGCTACCATGAGAGAAGGCAACCGGGCTAAACTGACACAGTTCAGGGCAGGCCGGCTTCCTTGCTTCATTTCTGCACAAGCAACTCCCTCTGTATAGAATCTCTTGCTTCCGCTTGCCCAGCCAGCCAACTGCACTTTGTCCTTTATGGGACAGCTCAAGCTCCGCACTGTCAGGAAGCCTTTCCTGACTGCTTCCTTAGCCCACTTCTGTCATGCCTAGCAAATTGTAGGTGCCCTCTGCTTTGCTCTCCAAACACCTCCATGATATGTACTGTGTTATTCTGAAACGATTTCCTTTATTTGACTGTCTTTGCCACTAGACTCTGAGTTCCTTAAAAGCAGTGATTGTTTTCTTGCCCATCTTTGTTGCTTCTGTACTTAGGCTAGGTGGGTACTAAAGAAATAAATACGAGTGACTAAAGACAGAGAACAAGATGCTCTAAGCAAATTCTTTGATTTATGTAAACTATTTGACCACTCACCCTGTTTTTCCTTACACATCCCAAACTCACTTCCCTGAGACCATACCTAAAAGGTGAGGGAGCAAAGGAAAAGAAATTTACTAGCTGGGTGCGGTGGCTCACGCCTGTAATACCAGCACTTTGGGAGGCCAAGGTTTGTGGATCACCTGAGATCAGAAGTTTGAGACCAGCCTGGTAAACATGGTGAAACCCCATCTCTACTAAAAATACAAAATTAGCCAAGCATGGTGGCGTGTGTCTGTAATCCCAGCTATTTGGGAGGCTGAGGCAGGAGAATCGCTTGAACCAGGGAGGCAGAGGTTGCAGTGAGCCGAGATCATGCCACTGCACTCCAGCCTGGCAAAAGAGTAAAACTGCATCTCAAAGAAAGAAAAAAAAGAAAGAGAAAAGAAACTTACTTATTATGACAGACATAATTCTAAGACAGCACCAAGATTCCCAGCCGCTGGTGTATATATGTACTCTCTCAGTCATCATTCAGTCAAAACATGAATCTAAGTGCTGCTGTGAAGGGATTTTACAGGTACAGTTAGGCTCCCAAATCAGCCGACCTTAAAACAGGGAGATCACAGTTTGTGGGCATGACCTAATCAGGTGAGCCCTTAAAAAAAGATGAGGCTCTTTCTGGTGAAACAGGTTGTAAGAATGAGAGACATCTGATGTGGGGAGAGCTACTGGTTTTGAAGATGGAGGGAGCCACAAGGCAAGGAATACAGAGGCCTCCAGGAGTTGGGGACAACCTCTGGCTGACAGCCAGCAGGGCAAAAGGACCTCAGGCTTGCAATTGTGAGGAACTGCATACTGACACACCCATGGGAGCTTGGAAGGCTCCTGAGCTCTGGATGAAAACTCAGCCCAACTGACACACTGATGTTGGCCTTCTGAGACCCTGAGCCTGGACTTGCTCTAGCTGGACTTCTGACTTACAGAACTGTGAGCCACTACATGGGTGTTGTTTTAAGCTGTTAAGTTTGTAGTGATGCAATACCTGGCGTTAGAAAACAAATACACCTATCATCCATCTTCTCCAAGAACAATATTCTGATGTTCTGCTACAGCTTTTAAAATATATCATAATTTTACACCCACATCTATTCCTATAAATAAATGAATGCAAACTGCTTTAAGGTTTAGTGGCATATAACTTCTGCTTCTTCATTCAGGCTCCCTGTTTCAACCACAGGCATAGATAAAGGCAAAATTTAAATTCCACAGAAAGTATGAAAACCCACTATCTAAAGAAAAGTGGAACAGATATGTACTTCTAACTCTGCAAGGCTATACAAGAAACTGATAACAAGGTGGCAAGAACTGGGGAACTAGAGAACAGAGTCTTCATTTTTAACCATAAAAGCTTTTATTTTGTTGTTTTAATCTTGGATATGCATTGCTTTTCTTCAAAAAGAATTTATGTCAAAAAAACTACATTCACAAATTTAGATGAACATATCTTTCAAACAAGTTGTATGTGACTTCATATTGTAGATACAGTTCATGACCAGAGAAATAATAAGGTGACGTTTTTCCAGCTATTCAGGAGGCTGAAGCAGGAGGATAGCTTGAGCCCAGAGGTGAGGCTGCAGTGAGCCACGATTGTGCCACTACGCCCCAGCCTAGCGGACAGAGTGAGACTGTGTTTGGGTTAAAAAAGGTGACGCTGATAAATTTACTTACCCAAACTCTTTATCATCGTTTCCTCATCTGTAAATGTTTGCAGTGAAACAAAGGGCACTCCATTATTTGTTGTATTGAGTAGAGCTTCTGACCCAGAAGATCTGGGGACATGAGGAGGAATCTTCCAAGAAGACAAGCAAGTTGGGAAATTTCTTCTTAGCTGTAGGAACAGCCCCCATTAATAGGGGGAACATAGACACACACCAAAGACAGGTACTCGAATGTCATTTTCTTTGAGAATAACTTTATAATGTTATTTTGAGAACCCATTCTTATATTTCATGTCACCAAAATAAGGAAACTTAACCTAGTGCATTTTAAAATTCAGTTTTTTAAACATAACACAAACTAGTTTGTTAACATGATGTAATACCTTCTTTATCCAGCAATGAGCTGCTTTAAATCAATGAATTTCCCAGATAATTAACTTTTACCAATCAAGGAGACAGAACCTTCTCGACAGAATTCATCCTCCAATATATTTCACATTTCACTGACATTTTACATAGGGACACTGGAACTGTAACACCACTGATGTCTAAGACTGACCATGGTCAAGACTATTCTCCTGTGAGGGCACAGAGCTACCTGCCCTGCCCTGAGTGGGCCAGGCAGCTGGGCTTTTGTAATTTCCAAGGCTAATTTTTTTTTCAGCATCTTGCCGGCAGCATAAAGGTTAAGAAAATAGGCTCTGAAGTCTGAAAGAACTAGTTTCAAATCCTAGCTTCTGATATTTAAATAATGTGATCTTGGGCAAGTGATATTTAACCTCTCAGTTAAAACCTCTGAGAGTCTTAGCTTCCTTACCTGTAAAATGCAGGTACCAACCTCTTAGAGTTTTGTGAGGATTAGTAAGACCATCCATAAAAAGGCTTAGCATGTAGTAAGAGCTCAATACACCGTAATGACGATTTCTACCACAACTGCTAAGAACATAGAAGTGGAGGTGGTCATCACAGAAAAAGCAGTAGTAATGATCTAGTTAAACTGCAGCCATCATTGATTGCCATGAACGTGCCTTCCTGCTGCAATGTCTCAAATCCTTTAACAAATGCAGTAACATGCTGAAATACGTTTTCTCAATAGTTTTGATTATACACTGAAAAGCCAAGAAAAGGAGAAACTGTGAACAAGGGTCACTATGTTTGAAACCACTGTCAACCTTTGCTGCATACTGGCCGATCTTTGCAACTACGTGCCTGGGAGCAGAAATCCTCTGCTCTGGATTCACCTGGAAAGAAGAAACACTGGCCAGTCAGAATAAAAGTGTTATGTGTCTCAATTTGCCTAGCTAATTGTTTTGTTTTCAGAAGCAGGAGTTGGTTTAGGGCAAAGTTGCATGAAACATTTTTTCTCATTAAAGACAGAGTTGGGACAGGAAAACTTTGGGCTAGAAAGGAGGAAAAAGAGGACGTAAGGCATTTTCTTCTTGGTGAGATGAATAGGAAGAACTAAAAAGAAGGGCAAAGGAGAAGTGAGGTAAGACTCGAAGTGCAAAGGGGCTCAAGAAGGGGAGGAATACTGCTAGCAGCAGCAGGAGAGAATGCTCAGTGGCAGCTGGCACAAGAAAGAAGGAAACGGAGAAAGAACGGAAATTGGAGAAGGAAGAGAGGTAAGCATGGGGACCAAGTCTGCTCACGGGCTGGTGGTGGAGCCTTGAATGGGGTTCTGGATATATATTTGAATGAATGAAAGAATGAGCCAACTAGTGTTCTCCACAAAATGCTCATGAAACTTACCTATTACATTTCAAAAGCTATAACACATTGCCCACATTTCTCATTTCTAAGGGAGATTACTTACTTCACTAAACCCATGACAGAATTCTGGGTGTCTGTTAGTTAATATATCACCTTTGTACCTAAGTGTACCTTTAAAAGAAAGCTCACTACTGAGAAATTTAAGTCAGTAGATCTGGTTTTTAAATTTCTATTAAAAATTATTCTATTCTATTAAAAATTCTATTCTATTCTCTTTTAAATTCATACCTATTTTTCCCACTGACACAACTATGAGCCCCTTGGTTTCAATATTGCCACTGACAAAGTATGGGACCATTCAAAACATAGCAGCGATTTTATATTCATAGACACGATAACAGAGACAACTGTACTTTAAAAGGTAAGAAATGGTATACAATCACAGGGCAAGATTATTGAAGATGCTCTTCATAAAATATAGTGACTATATGTTAAGTGAATGGAATCCATTTTTAACCAAAGCATTGAGAGATATTACCCATCAGTTTTTGGCAGAAAAAAATTTCCATTTATTAATACTATGACAGTCTTTAATAAAGGGAACTTTCCTTTTCCTTGTCACTGACTGCACAGCCTGAGGCTCCGATGTTGATTTTCTTATGTCCCCTGCCCCTCGGTGTTGACCTCAGCCTTTGCAGCTTTGGTGTCCACTCCATCAAAATGATTTTCCACAGTTATAACCCATTGCACCACATCATCACATTTTTTTGTACAGAACAGCAATTGCTACTTGAATGGAATAATGGTTATTTATGCCTTGCCAAATACTTTCCAGAGCTTGAGTCTCATCTGTTTCTTACTCAACTGACCAGAGTTCTGGTGCACTTAGAGGCGTTGATGATCAAACCTGGGCCTCTGTGGACAGAACAATAAAGCCCATGAACTTGGATGGGGGTAAAATTACATACTTATTTCATTAACCTCTAACTAAAAATACAGCATTTCCTTCTATTATTAATGTAGGCAACAAGTTACAATAGTCTTAGCAGTCTCTGTGACTCTGCCATCAAAAGAAATTACAGATACTTTTATATCACATTAATTTGGTGCAAATATCTTGAAATATTATTTGTGCTCTTCACTACTTCAAATTCACAGCAGTTATCAAAACTACTGCCAGATCTCATTTCACTAACAAATACACATTACTATATCACAATTAAAATGTATTTTTATATCTAGCATCTTTGGGGAAAAAATAAAAATATTTTTATAACTGTTTTATTATAATTGATTTCCTTTGCAACCCTATATATCATATGCATTTTAAATCATTGAGAAAAGGTCTACGAACTTGACTACATTGTTGTTTACTCTTATTCAAGACACAAAGAAGGTTAAGAACTCCTGACTGTGGAATGTTCTGGTAAAGGCTCTTTTGCTAAACTCGGTTAGCAAAAGAACTGAGTTAGTTCCCTTCCTCCATTATGCTCCAGCATAATGAAGTATTGTTCTGAACATTCTTAAAGTGCTTCAAACCTAGCTTTCACAACATATGAAAGGCAAAGGAAGACGTATCAGAGATGTTGTGCTGTCTCCTACGGAAGCTTCTCCCCGACTACTTGACCCTTCAGAGTTAGTAAAGGTTGTGGGGAGAAAGAAGAAATATTTTTTTCTTTTTTTTTTTTTTTGAGACAGAGTCTCGCTCTGTCACCCATGCTGGAATGCAATGGTACGATCTTGGTTCACTGCAACCTTGGCCTTCCAGGTTCAAGTGATTCTCATGCCTCAGCCTCCTAAGTAGATAGGATTCCAGGTGTGCACCACCACACCCAGCTATTTTTTTCTATTTTTAGTAGAGATGGGGGTTCATTGTGTTGGCCAGGGTGGTCTCGAACTTCTGACCTCAAGTGATCTGCCCACCTCAGCCTCCCAAAGTGCTAGGATTACTGGCATGAGCCACTGCACCCAGCCAGAAAAGAGAAATTCTTATACTCTGTGGGTTGAGTGTATAAATCACTGTTGCCGTCACTTTGGACAATTAAGTGATAGTAAACATAAGGACAGATGCTATGGTTTGCATGTGTCCCCTTCAAAATTCAGATGTTGAAATTTAATGTCCTAGTATTGAGAGGTGGGGCCTTTAAGAGGTGATTAGGTTATAAGAGCTCCTCCTTGGGAATAAGACCAAGGCCCTTATAAAAGAGGCTTCACACAGCATTGGACCAGGCCCTTCCGTTCTGCTAAGGAGGATGTATGAGGAAAGCCTCCCCCAGACAACTGAACCTGCCTGTGTCTGGATCTCGGAGTTCCCATCGTCCAGAACTTTGAGAAATGAATTTCTTTTCTTTATAAGTACCCAATCTATGGTATTCTGTTACAGCAGCACAAAGTGAACTAAAACAACATATTTACACTAAGGCCCAGAAATTTTACTTCAGTTCACATATACAAATAGACGTGCAAAAGATGCAGTGATTTCTATAAAGGCAAAAAACTAAATATCCAATTATCTGTCAACAAAGCAATGCATAAATTGTAGTATATTGACACAACAGAATATCATACAGCAGTTAAAGGGAACTAGGGAGCTACGTGGATCAGCAAGGACAAATCTTGAAAATATAGTATAGAGTTAAAGAGGCAATTTGCGAGAGGATTTGTTCAGGATGACAGCATTTATGTACACGTTAAAACACCAAATGATAGTATATATTCTTATGAGTACACAAAGATATAGTAAAAGTTTAAAAACACAAACAGGAAGCATACAGACGGTGGTTACATCTGAGGAGAGGGTGGAAGCATGGGTTTTGTGTTAGCATTGTTTTATTTCTTTTTTTCGCCTCTCTCTTTTTTTTTGAGACAGAATCTTGCTCTATCACCCAGGCTGTAGTGCAGTGGTGCGGTTTCAGCTCACTGCAAACTCCACCTCCTGGGTTTAAGTGATTCTCGTGCCTTAGCCTCCAAGTAGCTGTGACTACAGGCATGTGCCTCCATGTCCGGCTAATTTTTGTATTTTTAGTAGAAATGGGGTTTTGTTATGTTAGCCAGGCTGGTTTCAAACTCCTGGGCTCAAGCAATCTACTCACCTTGGCTTCCCAAAGTGATGGGATGACAGGCATGAGCCACCATGCCCTGGCTGTTTTATTTCTTTAAAAAAATCTGTAGTATTGCTTCACTTGACTAACCTTTAAAACAAATCTGTAGCAAAGGTGGGTTGTATGTATATGAGTACCAGTTATATTGTTTTTTGCACTTTTCTGTAAATTAGAAATATTTAACAAGAAAAAACTTTAAGAAATTTTACAAAGTTTTTTCTTTCTCTTTTAGAAAGAGATGGGCTCTTGCTATATTGCCCAGGCTGGCCTTGAACTTCTGGCCTCAAGTGATCCTCCCAGCTCAGTCTTCCAAAGTGCTGATATTACAGTTGTGAGCCATTATGCCCAGCAAAAATTTTAAGACTTAAAAGTATGTACAATTGCCTGAACCATGTATGCTTTGGCATTTCATTATTTTATTTTATTTTTTTGAGATAGGGTCTTGCTCTGTCACCCAGGATGGAGTGTAGTGATCCCCCTGGACTCAAGTGATCCTCCCACTCTACCCTTCTGACTGGCTGTGACTTCAGGTGTGTGCCACCATGCCCAGCTAATTTGTTAACTTTTTGTAGAGACAGTGTCTTGCTATGTTACCCAGGCTAGTTTCAAACTCTTGGCTTCAAGTGATCCTTCTGCCTTGGCCTCCCAAAGTGCTGGGATTATAGGCCTGAGCTACCATATCCAGCCTGTTTTCAAAGGGATTCAAAGTAGGCTTGCTTTTAAAAGCTAGAAGTAAGGCCGGGCGCGGTGGCTCACGAGGTCAAGATATTGAGACCATCCTGGTCAACATGGTGAAACCCTGTCTCTACTAAAAATACAAAAAATTAGCTGGGCATGGTGGCGCGTGCCTGTAGTCCCAGCTACTCGGGAGGCGGAGGCAAGAGAATTGCTTGAACCCAGGAGACGGAGGTTGCGGTGAGCTGAGATCGTGCCATTGCACTCCAGCCTGGGTAACAAGAGTGAAACTCTGTCTCAAAATAAGTAAATAAATAAATAAATAAAATAAAAGCTAGAAGTAGGTTTTAGATAATGTGCTCATTATGACACAGAAAAAATTTAAGGATAAGATCCTAACTGCTGAATGTTGTTACAATAATTAAACTACTTTATTATGGTAACATTTACCAACTAATCTATTAGTGTCTGAGAATGAATGTCCCTGAGATTTAAATCAGTGTGTAGCCTCACCAGACCAATCTGATTCCGTTTTTATATAACAAAATGGTGAGTTGTTTTTCAGTTGCCATGGACCTCAGGTCACATAAAACTGGGCATACCCAGATGAATCAAGCATGCAACCATAGAGGGAACTTGCCCTAAGTGCTTGAACTGAGGAGTGAGGACTTAATTATCATAAGTGGACAGGATCAAGGATCTAATCAGATGAGCTCTAGGGTCATACCCTATCAGGATCTGGTCAGACATGCCTCCTGGCATCACTTCACTGCAGAATCCAGTCAGATCACACCCCATTACCCATGCCTATAAAACCTGACCCAGCCTCCAGCTCAGGGAGACACTGTTGTGGGAATTATCCTGGTGTTCTCCTTACCTGTTACAAGTAATAAAATCCCCTTGCTAAATCCTCCTTGGTTGTGGATATTGGATTGATATTTGCCAAGGAACCATATACAACCCTTGTGTGGGAACAAAGGGTTACCATTTTGGCTGCTGGATTAATCTGTTTTCACATTGCTGATAAGACATAGCGGAGACTGGGAAGCAAAGAGGTTTAATTGGACTTACAGTTCCACATGGCTGGGGAGGCCTCTACATCATGGCGGCAGCAAGAGAAAATGAGAAAGAAGGAAAAGTGGAAACTGCTGATAAACCCATTAGATCTCGTGAGACTTATTCATCATCACAAGAATAGCATGAGAGAGACCGGCCCTCACGATTCATTCAATTACTTTCCCCTGGGTCACTCCCACAACAGGTAGGAATTCTAGGAGACATAATTCAAGTTGAGATTTGGGTGCAGACACAGCCAAATCACATCAGCTGCATAGCTGTATCACTTGGCGAGCTTAAAAAACAGCTATCCTAGCCACAGCATTTAAGATTGTAATTCAGTAGATTCTGCCCTGGGCATCCCTATTGCTACAAAGCTCCCCAGGTCATTCTAATGTGCAGCTTGGGCTGGAATTTGTGGTTTATATGTATGACTTTGGAAACCATCTTGTAACTTTAAAAACCAAACCACTCACTTACGGCTAAGAGTTCAAGTAATGATCTCTGAACGTGCCTCCCCCATGACAACCCATCTCCAGCTGGCTTTAACATTTTTCTTCTAGTTTTAATAGGTAACATACAAACAAGCCTCAGAAAAGCTCTGTTACACGTCCCCATCCAGCCCCATAGGCAGCCTTTTTAAATTAGTTTCTTACATATCCTTCTGGTGTTCTCTTAAAACAAATATAAGCAAATAGCAATATATTCTTATTTTTCTCCCAGTCCTTTAAAAAATATAGCATACTATGCATCCTATTCTGTGCCTTCCTTTTTTTTTTTTCATTTAGCAACATATTCAAGAGATCTTTGCCTATTAGGCCATAAAGAGCCTTTTCACTCCTCTTTAACATTTAAATAGGACAGGGCACGCCTGTAATTCCAGCACTTTGGGAGGTCAAGGCGGCCTATGACAAGGTCAGAAGTTTGAGACCAGGCTGACCAACATGGTGAAACTTCGTCTCTGCTAAAAATACAAAAATTTAGCAGGGAGTAGTGGTATGCACCTGTAATCCCAGCTACTCAGGAGGCTGAGCCAGAATTGCTTGAACCCAGGAGGTGGAGGTTGCAGTGAGCCTAGATCGCGCCACTGCACTCCAGCCTGGGCAACACACCTCAAAAAAACAAAAAAAAAAGAGGAATCACCACACTGTCTTCCACATGGTTGAACTAATTTACACTCCCACCAGCAGTGTAAAAGTGTTCCTATTAATGGCTACTATTAATGTCTGATTTTGCTGTTCATATGTTAGAGCCTACTCTGAATAAGAGTTAGTGTTCAAAAAGAAAGAAAGAAAAGAAGGAAGGGGAGGGGAGGAAAGAGAAAAAAGAAACAGGAAAGAAGGAAGGAAGGGAGAAAGTGAGGGAGGGAGGAGAAAGGGAGAGATACAAAGAAAAAGCAAAAAAAGTTAAGAGAAACAAAGAGAGAAAGAGAAAGCAAGCAAGCAAGCAAGCAAGAAAGAAAAGAAAAGAAAGAACTTGTGATGTTCATGACTTGCTGGTAAATAGCAGAGCCCACAATTTAAACCTACAGACTTACCTTAGAGTCTGTGTACTTAATCACTCTGATATGCGAGTTCCTATAGAATGTGGTATTTGATAGAAAAAAGCAGCATGCAGTAGTCAGAAACAATAGTTGAGGCTTGCATAGCCTCACATGGGTAGATGCCTTACAAATAATGTTGTTTTAAAAGATATGGGAAAAAGGAGGTGTTTTGCACAGCTGAAATAAACAGATCATCAAAGTATGATGTCACAAATCACACACCTTAATGTCTGTCTCCTCCAAAATTCATGTTGAAATCTAACTGCCACTTAACAGTATTAAGAAGTGAGATCTTTTAAAAGTGATTAGGCCATGAGGGTTCCACCCTTATGAGTGGGCTTAATGCCATTATAAAAGTACAAGTTTGACCTGATTTTGCCTCTTTTTTCTTCTACCTTTCACCATGTGAGGACATGGTGTTCCCTTGCTTATGTGTCTATGAACCATAAAAGTGGAAAAGGGGTCTGTTGTGGACAATTATGGGATATAATTTTATTTTCAAAGGATTTTGCAGCCAGCATTATACATGGATAACTTATACTTTGATAGATAAAAGATGAAGGCCCAGTGTAGGTGAGGAACTTTAATGGTATATACGATGCCTCATAATCAGTCAGAAACAGAATACTGGTTCACTCCTCTTAACCTACATCATAGGTTAAACAGAACATTGCCAGGAGGCCTTTACTATTCTACAAGGGCATCATTTGTTCAGTCCTTTTTCCATAGTTTGGAGTAAAAGAAGCCATGATTAGAAATGTATCCCTCATGATAGGCTCTAGAGCAGATTCCACTGTGAAGGCTATTGTTACACAACAGACTCTAAGTTCTCTCGTGAAGGTTATGATACAATTGTCTGAACAGAGAAGTATCTGTGCAGCTGTGGCATTTGTGGCCTATGGAGAAATACATCAAATGAAGATTATAGAGATTCAGTGGTAGAAGATTAAGAAGAGATTGCTTAGTCGAGTAAGTAGACTCTCTATCTAGCTCATTCTTTGATCTATTTGATTTTAGGTGGTTTGGTTTATGGGGACCCTGGGTAAGCAGCATGCTCCAAACTCTTGGTATTATCTTCCCAATAGTCATAACGATAGTCTCCCTGGTGCACTCTATTCTCTGAAAGGTTTTCAATGTTTGCACACAGTCATCTCCAGAGTGTCAAATGGTCTCTCGTCAACTGCAATGAAAAGAGCTGAAAGAAATGTGTGACACTGTAACCTATGAATGACATGCTGAGACTGGAAACCCAAGATCATGGTAACTGTGAGTGGCGTTAAGGCCCTAAGTTTTGGTCACACTCTCATGTGGGAACCTGACCAAAAAGGGAATTTTTTTAAAAACGAAATTCTGGGAGGCCATTGTTTTGGACTGAACTTAAGTGCTAGGCCCCAACAGACCAAACCAAACCAAAATGGAGTGGCTTGTGCTAAGACTTTAAGGAAACACATAGATCCTAGAACAGACCAGGTTTTGTTTTTCTCCTGCAAATCTCTGTAACAAACATTCCTGACAGCATAAGTATCCACCCACTGAAGTTCCCTTTAAATCTTTTAAGAAAATTCATTTTCTTTCACCTATAGATCATTAAGCTTCAGAGGATCATGCAACAAGGGCTCTTGCCAGTTCCAGGTGAAGACACCACTGGCCATCAAGAAGCTACCCTGTCTCCACTAGACAGAGCAGGGGAGAGTTCCCTGATCCCAAGAAGCAGTTACAGAAGGAAGACCATTGGTCTCTCTGTCTCCCATAAAAATGTATGGGGATCAAGTCTCTCAGGGGGGAAATGAGGCAGGAAATAGGGTCTGGAAGCAGGGAACTTAAGGACTTCTTAGAACTAAATTAAATGGAAAAAACCCAACCTTCTAAGCCCACATAAGTAATTTTATAACTCTACTTCAGCTATGGCAGGAAACGTCCTCTTCATTTGCCTGGGGTGTATACCAAGTAAATAACTTTGCAAACTCACTTCATCCTCTTCATTTACATAGGGCATACACGAAGTAATCAATGAGAAATCTCTAAAGGGTAATTAAACACCAGAAAATTCTGTAACTGGGGCCCTTGAGTCGCTTGCTTGGGCTTGCTCCTACCACATGGAAGGTGCTTTCATTTTCAATGAATCTCTGCTTTTGTTGCTTCATTCTTTCCTTGCTTTGTGTGTTTTGTCCAATTCTTTGTTCAAAACACCAAAAACCTGGACACCCTCCATCGGTAACAAGACCACAGCTGCATGCCAACACACCCACCTACGTTTTTGTATTTTTTGTAGATACAGGGTTTCATTCTGTTGCCCTGGCTGGCCTCAACAGTGCCTGGACTGCTTCAACTTTTATGTAACAAAGTTGTGAGTTTTTCAGTTTTTTGGATTCCCAGGTTGAAGGTCACTTAACCTGTGCATGCCCAGATGAACCACGTTTGCAAACAAGTGGGCGTCTAAGTGCTCGCAGTGAGGAGCAGGAGTGGAATTAAGAACAGACACTGCATGCCAAGGTCCAGAATCCAATCAAATTGAGCTCTGGCAATACCCAATGGCAGGATCCAGATCAGGCCTCCTGGCATCACCACATCGCAAGATTCAATCAGATGGTTAGGATTGAAGAGTTCCTCTTCAAAGGTTTCACATACTTGCCCTTTGTTTTATTCTGTTAGTAATCTTTCTTATCTGATGGACCACGCTTGTAACTGACCCACACCACCCTGCTTTAAGTCCTTAGGTATAAACAGTTAACTTCCTAGTTCTTTGTCCTATAGGGATATCTGTACCCAACATCCCTCCCTTATTTAGAAAAATTGCTAAATCTAGTTAATTGGAATAACTTTAGATTGCGTGGCCTGACCCCAGCCAACAGAGGGAGGACATAGAAACAGGGACTGTGTTAGGAATAAAAACCCCTGCTTTCCTTTGTTCAGTGTGCTCTTGCCACTGTCCTGGATGGACGAAGTCCCACTCTGCAGAAGTCAACTTGCCTTGCTAAGGAATCCTTTGTTTGACTGCTGGTTTTGTGACCCTGAGCTCTTATTTCCAACAAGGTCACACCTTGCTTACCCTATGCTTACAAAATTTCCAACCACCAGTTCAAGGAGACAGATTTGAGACTTTCCTCTTATTTCCTTGCCAGTCAACTGGCAAGAAGACTTTTCTTTTCTCTAAAAAGTTGGTACATGGTATCACATTCTATGTACATTGGCCAATGAGCCCATAGATTGCTGAGAAACAGTGGCATCCAGCTTTTAAGTAAAATGACCTTCCTTACCCTAGGATAATAAAGGTATTTGTCCATGTTGGTTTTTAGTACTTTTATGTACTTATTTTTTATATTTAATGTGCATGTTTATACTTGCAAAAGATAATGGACATATGAACAATTTTTTTCCGAAATTATCTTATGACTTAAGGTCCATGAAGATCATGGAGTGATTCTAGGGCCAGATAATTAGTGTTTCTCCTTGGGAAACAAATTTTGGTGGTATAAACATACAGTATGCTTTTGTATTGATTCAACTTTAGGCTCAAAGAAAGGCAAAATAATATTTTATGATGTAAATAAATGTGTATACTACCTAAAAGAAGGCTCTCTGAACTGTCAACTAACTGGAATATCTCGTTTTCCAATCGTGGTGGAAACTAAAGAATATTTTAAAAGTAAATTAATACTGAGATACAATTATACACCATCAATACAGCTAAAAGAATTAGTAACGACACCAAATACTGGTGTGAGCCCTGGAGGTTTACTGAAAACTCACAGAAATGAGGCAGATTGATTAATAGGTGAAAAGGCATCCGCATTTATTTAACGTGTATAAACGAGCCTTTAGAATGAAGACACAACCCCCAATGAAGTACAGAAGCTTCCATATCATCTTCAGGTTACAGGAAGAATGCAGGCTCAGAGAATGGCCCAAAACAGGTGTTAGTGGCAAGACAGATTACAGGAGGGAGAAATGAAGAGATTTGGCAAGTAAAGGTGGTCTTTTTATGTAGATGAAAACAGGTAGCATCCCTCAGAACAAATGGTAAATGTTTCTTTTCGTCCTTTTAAAGGTGTCAGACTCAGGTAATCACTCCTAGAGTTGGGAAAGGCCTAGAAGGAAAAGACATGGCTGGCTGCATTGATGAAAACTGTCTACTGAAGCAAATTTCCTCCATAAAACAGCAATGCAGGACCACTTCAGTCTGCTGGCACTGTGGCAGCCATTTCAAAATATGTCAAAGTCTATTTTGGGGTAAAATATTTTGATTTGTTGCACTGGCAAGGGAGATGAGAAAATGGATCTCTCATACATTCCTGGAAAACAGTTTAGCCATTTCTTAGAAAAAGTTTAGCTGTTTCTTATGCAATTACTATATGACTCAGCAGTTCCATTCTATTTATTCAAGAGAAGTAAGAACAGAAGTTCAAAGACCTGCACACCGATGTCCATAGCAGCTTTAGCCACAATAATAAAAAACTGGAAACAATTCAGATGTCCTTCCATGGGTGAATGGTTAAACACCTGTGGTACATCCCTATCCAAATGGGTGTGGGGATCCATTTGGAATCCCAGAGTTGGTATAATGCTTCTTTTAAGCTGAAGACATCTGAGATTCAACAAATGGAGGAAAAGCCTTCTTTTCTAGGAGCTTCCTTTATCTGACTAAAAGCAGCAACCTCTGGGAAATGAGGCTATCAGAAATTTCCTCTCCTGGGGAGTTTTTTGGCCCTGAATATGAATATGCAAATATTATCACACAATTTCTTACCACCTGTCTGTTTTCCTAAAAATCCTTTTGGTTTTTCCAAGGAGACCTATTTGTTTTTCCCATAAAAGCCCTTTCTCCCCCATCCTTTATATACCTGTTAGGTATATAAACCCTTTAACCATTTCATGAGCCAGATACTTGCTCATTATGCAAAGGAAATAAATCTTTTACTACTGTTAATCTGTCTTTCGTTATTTAATTTCTAAGCCCCAGTCATTGAACTTAAGAGGGTGGATGAAAATTTTTTTCCTTTCCCTGCAATAAATTCTATTCAACAAAAATAAAAACAAAAAACACAAAAAAAGACTGGATGATTCTATTTATCTAATATTCTTGAAGTGACAAATTTATAGAGATTAGTGTTTACCAGGGGTTAGAGACCAAGACAGGAGGTTAGGTAGGAGTTGCATGTAGTTGAAAGAAGACAAGCAACACAAGGGATCTTTGTGCTGTTGGAACTGTCTTGTGGCTTGACCGTAGCAGTGGATACACAAACGTGATAAAACTGCACAGTCCTACACACACATATACATGGAAAACTGGGAATGATTGAAAAAGGTTGGTGTATCATATTGTAAAAGTTGTCAGAATCAAAATGGAGTCACTCATGTAAAAAGAAAACACACACACAACCACAACCTTGACAAACAGAGCAAGAGAAGGCTATGAAGAAAAGAGTTCTTATGTTTGTAAGCCTGATTAAAAAAAACCATCACCAAAGACTGCAAACACCAAAATACAAAGGCCATCACAATGTTACAGAAAAAAATACTTCTGCAAGGGCTATCTGCCCCAGTAACTGCCTGTCTAACCCCAGACTGTTATTGATCTTGTGGCTAACTGGAATTATTTCAATACGGTTATGTAATCCTATGGCATATGTATTTCCATTGCAATGCTCTATTCCCAAACAAGCATCTTTTCTTTCAGAGAGCCTCTCTCTGTTACTTAGGTTGACAGTATCAGTGTCAATTTCCTGGTTGTGATATTATATAGTTTGGTAAGGTGTTACCACAGGGGCAAATCAGGTAACAAGATGAAGGATCTCTCTGTAGCTCTTTTTATAACTGCATGAGAATATGCAATTATCCGAAATGAAGTTTAAACAAATTCTTTTACCACTCCCAAAGGAAAATTAAACTACTTTATGGGCTTTAAAATTACAGGAATTGTTATGAGGATTGTGTCAAAAATTTATTAGAATATAATGAAAAAATATGGCTGGGCGCGGTGGCTCACACCTGTAATCCCAGCACTTTGGGAGGCCGAGGCGGGTGGATCACGAGGTCAAGAGATCGAGACCATCCTGGTCAACATGGTGAAACCCCGTCTCCACTAAAAATACAAAAAAAATTAGCTGGGCATGGTGGCGCGTGCCTGTAATCCCAGCTACTCAGGAGGCTGAGGCAGGAGAATTGCCTGAGCCCAGGAGGCGGAGATTGCAGTGAGCCGAGATCGCGCCATTGCACTCCAGCCTGGGTAACGAGCGAAACTCCGTCTCAAAAAAAAAAACAAAAAAAAGAATATAATGAAAAAATATTTAACACTATATTCAGCTTCAATTTTGATTTCCTATGCCAAATTGTTTGTACCTGCTTGATATGGTTTGGCTGTGTCCCCAACCAAATCTCATCTTGAATTGTAGCTTCCATAATCCCCATGTATCATGGGACATACCCAGTGGGAGGTAACTGAATCATGGGGGTGGGTTTGTTCCCGTGTTGTTCTTGTGATAGTGAATAAGTCTCACAAGATCTGATTTTTTGTTTGTTTGTTTGTTTGTTTTAGATGGAGTCTTGCTCTGTTGCCCAGGCTGGAGCGCAGTGGCATTCTCGGCTCACTGCAACCTCTGCCTCCTGAGTTCAAACGATTCTCCTGCCTCAGCTTCCTGAGTAGTTGGGACTACAGGGGCATGTCACCACATCTGGCTAATTTTTGTATTTTTAGTTAAGAGATGGGGTTTCACTGTGTTAGCCAGGATGGTCTCGATCTCCTGACCTCAGAATCTGCCTGCCTTGGCCTCCCAAAATGTTGGGATTATAGGCATAAGCCACCGTGCCTGGCCAAGATCTGATGGTTTTATAAAGGGTAGTTCCCATGCACTTCTCTGCCACATGCTGCCATGTAAGACATACCTTTGATCCTCCTTCACCTTCCTCACCACAATTGTGGGGCCTCGCCAGCCAGGTGGAACTGTGAATCGATTAAACTTCATTTTCTTTATAAATCAACCAGGCTTAGGTATGCCTTTATTGGCAGCATGAGAATGGACTAATACAACAATGCTCTATAAAACACGTATAAGAGGTATTCCAACCAACAGCAAGTAGTAAGAGAGACTGGAAGATTCTCCAGGCTGTGTTTTAAAAATATATATAGCAGATACAGGGTTAAATGGATATGGGTAATCATGTCCACTTCCTATTACTGCCTTAGGTTAATTAACCTAATCAAAATGAGAACAGTGATTTTCATGACTTTTTATGCTCCTGGGATGTAAGTGAGGAAGGAGACCCAGGCATCTGAGATTAACTTCCCCTTTGAAATGCAGATCCACTCTGCATTTCAATAGAAGAAAAGTCTGACCAACTGGCACCTCCTGATTCACCTTCCGTAGGTGGCAGGCTTGGTCTTGGGGAAACTCTCTGGAAGACAATGTTTTTACTTAAAACAATATCAAACCTAGAAACCTTTTCACATGTGATTCCTAAAACTGTAAACCCAAAGCCCTTTCATATGTGACTTCTAAGGCTGTAAACCTAAGATTCTTTCAGGTGTAATATCTAAAGTATAAGCCTATATAAAGGCAGAACCTTCCTTTGTTAAACGAGCTGAATTTGGACAAATTATTCCTCAGCTCCCGGCTGTAATAAACTCCTTCCTTCCCCATTCGGTGTTCGAGGGCTCTGTTTCCCATAGCTGTCCCTGCTACATAAGGATCAATATGGCATATATAATAGTTTAACAGGCTTATGGGACAGTATTTAATATAGCATTTGGAATGGACAGAGATGGCCCTGTTTGGAGTCAGCTGGTTGCTGGCCATGTTTTCTCCTTCAGCCTTGGGCTCTCTGTAATTGGCAGAGGCAGAGCCCTGCCAAGGCAGCCACAGCTTCCCGTACAGGGGAAGACACACAGGAACAGGAATGATGAGGGCTTATTAATGCTGTTTCTACTTCAGGGCTTACATGTTTTTTAGTAAACTATGCTCTTCAAATTTTACCTGAGAGACTGCTTCAGGCCACGATAAGAAGTGGAGGTCGAACATGCCTCATTACACCTCTCCAGTATTAACACCAACACAGACCTTTAAGTCTAATAAAAATCTTTTCAATCCATTCTCTCTGAAGTCTGGTACCTGGAGGCTTCATCTGCATGATTAAACTTTGGTCTCTACAACCTCTGATCACAACCCAGGCATTCCTTCTATTCATTAGGTTTTTAGACCAACTCAACCAATTGTCAACTAGAAAATGTTTAAATTTACCTATAGTCTGGAAGCTCCTCACAGTTTTTGTTATAGGAGTTATTAAGAAATTATTTTAGGCATGTAGAGAGGAAAAGGGGTCCATGGTAAGTTTTTGCCTCTTTTAAAGCAGCTCCAGAAACTTTCTTGTCTAGCAGGCTCTTGGAACTGAGACAGCAAGCCTACATATGCAAATATAGGCCATTAGAAACTATGTCCCGCTGGTCAGGTTAGGTGGCTCACACCTGTAATCCCAGCACTGTGAGGCAGAGGCGGGTGGATCACACGAGGTCAGGAGTGCTAGACCAGTCTGGCCAAAAATACAAAATCAGCCGGGCATGGTGGCGTATGCCTGTAATCCCAGTTACTGGGGACGTTAAGGCAGGATAATCACTTGAACCCGGAAAGTGGAGGCTGCATTGAGCCGAGATCGCACCACCGCATTCCAGCCTGGGCAACAAGAGCAAAACTTCCATCTCAAAAAAAAAAAGAAAGAAAAAGGTAAAGGAGATGGGTTTGCCTTTATTGTGACCCTGGCCAAGTCAAAAATTTCTCTTTCCCAAATTACCAGTGGACAAAAATGAAACCAGATCCTCACTTCTATTTTCAAAGAAAATTTAAAAGATAGGATTGTAAGGTCGGTTGCCTCGCCAGGAGGCCGAACATACCCACCCATTCTGTACTCGGCACCTGACTCTGCACTTGGCACCCACCTCTGCACTTGACACTGGTCTCTGCTCCCGGCACCTGGCTCTGCACTCGGCACCTTGCTCTGCACACGGTTCCCCTGGAGGGTCCCAGCTGACGCAACCCTGGCTGGCTCTTGCATCAGAAAAACCCGTTGGACAACCCGACAACCAATAGCGGCCCGCCCCGTCCCAATCCCGCTCCTCTGGAGCCAATCAGAGCACCCAGCTGTTGCTCGTTACTCATAGCCCTAAAAACCCCATGCCCCAGGAAGTCAGCAAGACTTCTCTGGCCCCTTTCCTGGACCATAGACCCTTGCCTGGGAGCTAAATAAATTGGCATTTAATTTTCTTATACCGGCCTCAGTTTCCTCATTTTAAACTCGGCAATAACTCTTACAAGGATTATTATGGAATTTAAATTTTTAAAAATCACATAATTATTTGGGTCTAACAACTTACCAGGCATTGAGAATTTCTTTGACTCACTCTCTTTTTCAGGGAAGATAGTGTAGCAGAAGCAGAAACACTTAAATAGAAGTCAAGAGACCTGAGTTCCATACCAGGGGTTGCATATTCAACACTGGCTGGCAACAGGGGTTACTAAATGGAGTAAAGGGAGCATGGACCACGTTCACAGCCTCCACACTATGCATTCCACCAGCTCCGTTATCTGGCCCTGCCATGTCTTGCACTTCTTAAAACACACTGCTTCTGCTCTCACAGGCTTGTTTTCTTTATGTGACGTAAATTCTGTATGTTTGCTTTTAAATATCCTTTTCCATCCTTTGCTCCAATTCCGAATACAGGACATGGTTGCAGGATTTCCTCCAACTGATATCCTACTAATTCTCCTTTTGCTTCTTTGCTTCTCAACATTCACCCAGGATAGTCTGAACCATACCCCAAAGGCTGACTTGTCCACTCCTGTTTCTTCAGTATCCTTCAGATGCCCCATACCCACTTATGGTTTGGCTTGAATTTACACCTCTTAAAGCAAACTAAATATGGC